CCTTAAAAAAAAGTTTTAAATGTTGCATTTGCTATTACCATGAGAATTACCAAGTGTTTCTTACTTTCAGCCAAAGGAGACGTTTGGTCTCATTTTCCCAAGGCCTTGGTTGGATTCCAGCTCCCACAAAGTGTGACATTGGGTTCCAAGGCCTGCAGAGCACTTTGCTAAGAGTAGAATATGTTGCATTGTTTAGAAAATCAGATAAGAAAGGTCACGTTTCTTCCTGGCCAGAACAAGCTATTGGCTGTGAAGAAGGTAGGCACTGGAACCCGAGGCCACCGGCCAAAGAAGTTAGGTGAGGGAAGTTAAAGAAACAGAAACACTCAGCACCTGAGACAGTGTGGCTTTCCTTTTCATAAAAGCACAAGGCGCCGTTACATCACACGATCACCCTGAAGGTTATTTGGCCACCTGCATTTGGGATTGAGCACAGGTTTTAAAAGGGAGGGAGACTCTCCCTTGGCTGCGTGTGTATTTCCTGTGTGCGCTATTTTAAAAAGAAACATTACTCACATGAGGCCCCAGGCGATGGTACTGGGGGAAACAATACCCGCTTGGAAATCGGAGGGGGCTCTGGTTTTCATTATGTGACTGAGAGGTCATTATTTGAATGCTCCTCTCTCTTTTTCTTTAAATCCATAGCCTCTTGGTCTCCAGCCCTCCAGTGGGTCCGTGGTCCATTATTCTTTGGGTGTTTTAATATTATAAACGTGGTGGAGGAGAGCCAACCGGAGTCTCACCGTCCGACTAGCTAACGGCAAGCCTTTGCCGCGGGGTCATCATTCATAAAGATCAAGTGGGTTGTAAATCACCCATTGGCCTGTGGTCATAAGGAGAGCAAGAGAAATGGTCTGAATCCTGCCCCTCTGATTCTTCTGCTGAGACAAGGATCGGTTCAGCAAACTGATCTTTTCAGGGGCTTTTCCTAACTGGCAAGGGAGCATGAAAAACCAACATTTCTCACATTTCTCCATCATCAGGGGATGGGATTGTAGCCAGAGGAATTAATTGTACAGCTGAAATCCAAAGCATTTGTGCAGTTATTCTGGAAGTATGAAAAATGTAAACTTTTACAAAGGTAGTTATATCTACTTCGGTCTCCAGCTCCAAAAGAACGGCTGTGAGGTAAAATGAAGGCTGTTTATCAGTTGCGACCGTGTTGTCCCTTTGTCTAAGTTCTCATAAATGAAAAAGCCCATGACAGATTTGTCAAAATTGTTGTTCAGTTACAGTTATCCCCATTTTTACCCCCATGACTCTCCCCTGCCTTGCCCCTACCCCACCCACAACATACAGTCCTCCCCTGGGGGAGGACACCCCCCCCCACTCCCTGCCACCCCATTGTCTTTGTCCACAAGTCCTTTGTACTTGCTCCTTGACTTGGGTCAATCATGAAATTTTTTTTGTTAAACTTTATTTGTAGAGGGTGGCCGTGTTCTTTAGCAGTTGGTGGTAAGACTGGAGAAAAAAGAAGTACCAATTACTGGTTAATCTTTCTAATTGGAAATCCTCTCCCCTGTATCTTTTGTGTGACTATCTGGAAGCAAGCTTAATAAGCCTACTGTGACTTGGGGAGACATCTGGGGCTCTGAGGATAATAATGAAAAATAATGAGGATAGTTACTTCCGACTGCAGCAAAACAGGGATTGAGAGCCTTCCTGCTACACTTTCTAATGGCTTTCATTGTTTAGTTTATTGTCACTGTGGGCAGATAATTTCATACTCACAACCCTGATAATATTTGAGGTTTCAAAGAAGCCATCCTTAGTGGGTTTACAAGTACAATCAATTTCTTGGTCATTTGAATGGCTACCTAATCAATCTTACTTGGACTATCTACTCTTTTGTAAATTACTAATGTAGTCTAGTTTTCAATAATCAGACATGGTAAGTTGAGATACCTCAACAATTCTGACCATTACCATCATAAGTTCATAACAATTAGAATGATAGGAAAGAGCACCCATGTCGGCTGAAGAATCCGAGGACTACTGAGGGAGGGAGCTGCGGCCATCCTCTCCGTGAGCCCAATTCAGGGGAAATCATGATTGCAGGTTCGAAGGCATGTGGAGTGTTTGGACTGTCGCTGTTACATATGCTGTTTGTGAGGACAGTCAAGCTGTTTTGAGGTCCTTAGAGCTTGTCCAAGAAGTAATGTTTCATTGTTATTTTCAGAGAATATCCTCACCCTTTAAAAATATTGTGTGAGTGTGTGTGAGTGAGAGAGAAAACATAAGGACTGAACATGAGTCTTAATCTATGGAATAACAGAACAAAACAGGGCCTGCTATTTCCATATGACTAACTCCAGGCCATGACAAAGTTAACTTATAATTAATATTATGATACCATTAAGCTATGGTAGAAATTGCTTCATTAACTTCATCAAATATCTCCCTGAGTATGCCCCATGCAGGCTGTTTTGAACGTTTTAAGTGCATCATGGCTTGTGATGCTCACCATGTCTGAGTTATAAAATCCAGCTCAAGGGGCTTCTCTGAGAGGAGTCCCTGAGCTTCATCCCTCTCTCCATATGGTGATAAAAATGGTTTCTTTGGTAAATGCCACCAGAGTAAGATGCACAGTACCAGCACAGTGCCAGGCACACAGTAGGTGCTTAGTAAATACTTGTTGGATGGATGAATGAATGTTGTCACTGTTTTTGTATTCCCCTTCCCACCCTCTGACTCATCACGTGATGCCAGTTGATCCGAATTCCAAGATAGAATATGGATACTTATCTTTCTTTTTCATCCAGATTCTGTCGTAATACCTGGTCAATGAATCTTTGTTAAAGGAGTTGAGGGTTGCTGAGCACCATCTACTCCTTCAGAAGAAAAATGACTGGTATTCCCTGGGAATTCTTTGTTCATGAGTATTGATTTCAATTTCAGTCTCTATCATATGTTCATCATTGCATGGGCCAGGCCTGGTTTCAGGCATACTTATTTCATCAGTATAAAATTCAGTAGCTTATTGACTGTAATGAGAAACATTCTACAATATGGAAATGGCTAGTCTCGGAAATACTTAGGTCAAGGTTGTTGTTGTTGTTTTTAATGATTCTTCAAGGCCATCTTTTAGTACCTAGATGATGTAGTTTGCTGATACCTGAGCAACAATTTAAACTTCATGGTAGCCTCCTTGGGTGGTTCATGAGGCTGGCATCCTAGCTGCAGGTATTTCCTGGGATAGTTCTGGAGATGGCACAAATGTACTGTTGATAGGCGGGGACTGTTTTGTATCTAGTTCTTAAATGGAGAGGTTCTGTTCATCACATGTGGTTTCAAATGCAAGCTGATCTGTTGACTTGAAACAAACAAAAAAAGGCTTTAAAAAGGGACATGTGGCTTTAGGAGATGGCAGTGCACTCCAAGGGAAAAGGAGTGATCTTGAGGGTGCATTCCTGGTTGGGGTGTTCCCAATATGAGTGTCTCTGGAAGTATTTCCTCCCTCAGGTGAACGGCTTTGTGCACCTGGTGGACATCTTCATGAAATCCTCCTGCGCTGCTGCTGGGCAACTGGAGCTGTGCTTCGGCAAGTCCCCGCGACAGCACCAGTGTCCCCTGCACACAGCTGGTGATGGGCGCTCCCTCCCCCCGTCCCTCTCCTCGCTGGAATGGTAAGGACGGCTTCTGGTGTAGAGGTCAAAAAGAAGAAACCATTTGGCTCACAGCACATGGAAAACCAATTTGTTTCACAGATTTTCCAGGTGAATATTTTCACTGCAATATTTACCTAAGTCTTTAAATATTCTGTCTCCTTCTTCTACTGTCTATTCAGCATTTTATCAGACTAATTCCTCTCTCAACTAATCATGATGGTCAGCTATTGAACAAATGAACTGCATTTGGTGACTTCTCTGTGAAAATTTAGACTTGGTAAGCAATGTATTGTATTACTTTCCCCTTAAAAATACTCCATCTTTTTGGTTTCATGTTGCATGCTCTTGGACCCCAAACTTCTTGAAAACTTGTCCTAATTCTGAACACATGTCAAGGGAAAATGCATTTAATTTACTGCTAGCCTTGTTTTGAGATCTTGACAAGATGCGGGGGGCTACCTCAAGTTAATGCTCCAAGGAAGTTAGCAGCCCTATTGGTTTATATGAGAGCCATTAAGCAGCTCAAACAGGGCGAGGAGGAGAAGGTTGAGGACAAATAGACTTAAAATCGATATCTCTTAAAGACCTTTTACTTGCTAAAGATGAAATTTGCCTTTTATCTGTCAGTACTTGCTTTCTGTCATATTGATTTCTCAGATCTAAAGGTCCGAGTGAGTAGAGATTTGTCGTTTCTCTTTTTCCAACTGATTGATAATTTTTCCTTTTGGGTCAAGTTGCCATATTATTCTTCCAGGTTTTAATGTTCTAAGACTTTTTAATTTTTTTAACTTATAATAACTAGTGGTCAACATAATTTTGAAAATTTCTCCAATGTTTGTAATCAGTGCCAGGAGAAGTATACTTCGGTACATAGTTACTTATCCATAATTCTGAAATCTAGAAAGATCTAAAAAAAATAGAAGTTTTTAAAAAAATTTATGTTTGGCACAAATTAATTTGGTGACAGAACCTGACTTAAAGGGATGCAAGCTATTTAGTTTTCAATGATCTTATGCAGAAATATTAACACATTTAATAAAGGGTGCCATGACCGACTCTACTAGGCATGTTACAAAGTATGCCACAGACAGCTTCCTAAAATGTGAAAAACTATGAATTTCAAAATATATCTGGCAAGTATAGAATTGAAGACCCGAACTAAACTGTGATGATAAAGACTTTTCACTTACTTGTTCATTTTCAGCCAAAGTCACTGAGCCAACGGAAGTGGCGAAACCAAAAATGCAACTTTATAGGGACGACAGACACAGTGATCCGGCTTGCTCTTGACCTTAACATAAGGCAAGTTTCTTGCCCACTTCTCAGTGTCTCATCTGAACACCAAGCTCTCTGGCCAGGATATTAAATGAGGCTTGACTGAATTACCAACATATTGCTTTATTTCTTGGTGGTAGTAAATTAAGGCTTTCTAGATTCATACAGCACGCAGTGATTTGAACATTAGGATAAAAAAAACAATGAGCATTCAATTTAGCAGAGGCAGGAAGGAAGCAATGTTTTAAAACAGATAAATTTCCTAGTGAGGCCTTTTGTTTGGTCTCTAAAAATCTTCTGAGCTATTTCCCCAGTAACCTCTGTCAGAGATTCACAGCCCAAGGGGAAGCAGAATGGAAAGGAAGATTGGGGGAAAGGGGGAAAGTGGGAGACAGTATGTGCTGGGCAATCAGTGTGAAAGTTGTCTTTGTCTCCTGTTTGGAAGACAGTGTAGATGTTGTGGTCAGGTGGTGGTGATAAAAATACTTGCAATAGGACTCCCTTTCTCTGATTCAGGGAACCATTTCGGATCTCCCTTCTCATTCTGGGAGTATGAAAGCTGCTCACCTGGAAGCCCCCAGTGCCAAGGGTTAGGAACAATCCTCTGTGACTCTCAAATTCTAAAGCTTTAGACAAGGTCACAAGTCACAGAGCAGGGGAATGCTACCTTCAACCCCTTTCATGATTCTAAACTCTATGGCTATCACTAGATACTGTCTCCAAACAATTTACCTCCCCCCTCCCCCCACCCTGTGGACCTGATTGCACATCTGACTTGTTGATTACGATGACTGGAGAGAAGACCGTATTTCACGTGATACATGAGAGAAATCTCCTGGGCAGACACCACCTCACTCTATCTCCTTCCCAACAGAAGACAAAGGAACGCAGGGAGCCTACAGTGGGTGTGCAGTTGTCGAGTGGTGTGCAAGCTTGGTCTGAAATGAATTCCATGTGCTTGCCTTAGAGATGCAGAGGTTCTGGGTTTGGATGGTGGATGCTTTTAGAAAGAAAGGATGGGTGATTTGAACACTGAAGAATGAGGGGCGTGGCCACAGAATAATTTGGGGAAGGTCACGTGTTTATTGACAAAAAGGCAACTCAATTTGATGAAAATATGCAATGGAATTTCTTCTGGCATCCCGATTTCACTTGAATGAGGCTAGCAAATGGATTGCTATCCAAATAGGACCTTTAAAATTCATACTTGGCAATGACTTTAATGCTCTATTCCAGGGCTCTGGCTGGTAAACCAGCGCCTAAGCTCTATCAATGTGTTCCCTCTTCCATTGGTCTGGCATTTCCGAGCGAACAGTATTTGAACACCTGGAAGCCTGCCCTGCATTCTCTGACAGAGAACATGCAGACAGCCACAGGGGAAGGCACACAAAGTGGCAGTCTGCACAATTAAACGTTATGACTTAGCCCCAACAGGCTTTATGTGATGAAGTCTGGGTGCACAAAAAAATAAATAGATGAGAAAAGTAGAAATGTGATCGCAATGACAATGAACCGAGGTGTCTGTTCCTGTCAGCTGCAGGGCAGATGTGCACGCTGCAGACCTCGTGTGCATGGAGAGGAATCAGGAAACCCTTACAGGACTGTGCTCTTTGGGGCCTTGCTTCTTAGTTAAAAATCATGAGAGTTTTCCCTCCATTTGAAAACTCTCCATTTGAAAGATGAGCTTGACTGGAGGGTATGGGCTTTGCTGGGATTAGGGATTTCATGGTGGTATTAAGTGGGCTGCTGTAGCAGAGCGGGAGATGCCCAAGAGACTCGCCCACCCAAACAACCGGGGATGGAAGTGATACTCAGGTTGGAGTGAAGGACATGCAGGACACTGCTGTTGGCACTTCTGAATCTCCTGAAAGCATCCCTAGAAATTGCACTCTTGGAGGAGGTAGTAGATGCCCTGTGTGCTCTATGCCAAGGTACTTTCGTTTATCAACATCTCAGTTCCCTCAGTTCTGAAATGGGCATCAAGCTAAAACTCTTGGGCTGGATGGTCTCTGATTTAATGCTGGAAACTAGAGCCCAGAGTGGTCAAATATTTTGTCCAAGATCACAGAGCTGGTCAGTGGTGGATTGCAGGTCTCCCCTCCACTGTGCTGCTTGTTGAAAGAGATTCTTTTACAAGGTTTCAAAGTACTTTGTATCTACCAGGTGCGGTGACATGAATTTAATAAGAATTTGCTGGGATGTAGGATTGAGGCATGTGGTTTAGGCCAATTGAGCATAAGGAGGAGGGGAAGGTATGGGTGGAATTATTCTGATGATCTGATGATGCTGCTGTTGGAGGCAGAGGGATGGGGGAATAGGGGATGGGGTATAGAACCCCAGAAATGTGGTCAGGAGGAAACGGAGACAGAACAGGGTGTCTCCAACAATATGGAATCAGCTGTCTGAGGTACATCTGTGGTGTGAACAGAAACTGCCTGCAAATGACCCGAACAATAACACCGTTTACTGTAACAGAACTTTACCCTGCCCACCCCAGCCCCTTCCTTTCCATGACCTCTGCTGCCCCGGGCAATTAGAAAAAATAAAAGCCAGATGCCTAAGAACCTTCCTGGAAGAAAGAGCTGTTATGAGTGGGTGTTGGTGCTTACATATGCTGCTTTAGAAAAACACATTTCGCTTCGTTCATGTTTGTCTGAAAACAGCGCCGGGTAGGAGCTGTCCCTTCAGAAGAAGGCAGGGTTGGTGTGCTCGATGACGCAGCGCTTGCAGTGGCGCTTCACGAACCGCAAGGCCTCCACCGACACCTCGCAGTCCTGGACGTTGAGCAGCTGGAGATCGAAGCAGTTGGCCGCCACGATCTGCAGGCCTTGGCCCGTGATGCTCTCGCAGGACTTGAGGCTGAGCCGCTTGAGATTGAAGCAGTTCAGGGCTAGGCACTCCAGCCCCGTGTCAGAGACCAGAGGGCACTTGCCGATGTCCAGGGACTTGAGTTTGGTGCAGTTCTTGGCAAGGTACTCCACGCCGTGGTCCGTTATGCCCTCGCAGCCCCTCGCGTTGAGGTAGCGCAGCTTGCTGCAGTACTTGGCGACATAGCGGATGCCCACGTCGGTGACGCGGCCACAGTGCGCGATGCTGAGGTACCGCAGGCGGGACTCCAGCTTGGCGATCTCCCGCAGGCCAAAGTCGCTGACGAAGCGACAGTCGCTGACGCTCAGCTCCTTGATGGACGTGCAGTAGATCATCAGGTAGCGGAGGCCCTCGTCGGTGAGGCGGACGCAACGGCGCAGGTACAGGTGGGTCAGCTGAGTGCAGTGTGCCGCGATGGTGTGCAGGCCCTCGTCCTCCAGCACAAAGCAGTCGGTCATGTCCAGGTAGCGGATGGAAATCTGTTTACCATGCAAGGGGGACAGTTTAATGGAGGCCTCCCGGGTCAAGCTGATGCAGGTCACTTTGGAGCACCCTACACAGAGAGACAGAACACATGCTCAGAGTAACCGCCAGGAATGGGGTGGTGAGTTCACCCCTGGATGAGGCATGACAGAGTCCTGCCCTCCTCCCAAGCCCGATACCCATATTACCCCTTTTTTACCTAACCTCTACAAAGAAGGAGAGCAAGAATGGGTTCTCTGTGTTGATTGATTTTTTTTAACTACTTTGGGGCTTATGGGGATTCACAGGCTTTAGAATCAGAAAGACGATGGCTCCCATTCCAGACTATCCCTAGTTGTCACACATGAGGCAAATCAAGCCTTCTGAGTATTTCCTTTCTCTTAAAATGGGGACAATGACATTCCCTGAAAGGTGACTGTGAAGAAGAAATGAGACATTTGTGTAAATATCTTGCCTTGGTCCTGGCATGTTCTGGAAGCTCAATAAAGGTTAGTTTTCCCCTGCAATGGTTTGCTGCAATGGCCTGGGAGCTGTCTGGTCCAAAGAAGTATCATATGTAAAAGAAGCTTTGGCCTTGGCCTTGGTTTGGCAGAAGGAGCTCTGATTGGGAGTCACACATGTTTCAAGTCTATTTTTTATGGCCTCAGGCAAGAGGCTTAACTTTTCTGTCTCAAGACTTTCCTCATAACATGGGAATCAACAGGAGGTATGCCTCTAGCTTAGGGAGATAATGAGGATGCAAAACCAGATAATGGACAGGGATGCACTCCAGAAACTCTCTGGGAAATATATGTGGTTATTAGTCTAACAAGGTGACCATCTGGGGATTCAATTCAACTCTCCTGGGTAAAGAAGGAGTAACTGTGTCATCTGGATTATTGTTCTAGCCCCTCTGCCAGGCTCCCTGCCCTGCCTTACCCCAACCTTCTAGTGTCCTTACAGCTGCCAGACAGATTATAGAAAGGAGAACTGCAATCACGTCACTCTGCTCACAGCCTTTAGATGGCACCCATTTCACTCCCAGTGTAAAATCTAAAGCCTCAGAGGGCCTCAGGACCTGCAGCCTGGGCACTCTGACCCACCTCTTTCCTCGCTCCTTGGACCCCACCAGCCTTCTTGCTACTTTGCACACTCCTCACACATCTTCCTGCCTCGGGGTCATGCACTGGACAGGGCTGCCCCAGAACTGCATGGACCCACCCCCACTTTCTTCGGTCTCTGAGCACAGGTCAGTTTGCTGGACAATTCTACCCTCCCCTGCCTGACTCCCTTTCATTTTCAGCAGTCTCTATCACTTTGTGGCATTCTATATTTATTTGTTCACTTTCGTATTTGCTGTCCCCACTCTGGAATGTCAGCTTCTGATAAAAGGGACTCTGGGCTGTTCACTGCTATATCCTTCACACCTGGGTCATAGCTGGTGCTCACTAGATACCTGTAGAATGAATGAATGAGTGGCCTGTGGAGTGAATAGAGTCTTCTACAGGAAGATCAGATAGGATAATCCAATTTCCAACATTTAAATGTCCTCAGGAATTCGACCCAGGCTGATGTATATCTATATCGAAAAATAGTTGTCTACTTTATTGCAATGCATTTCATGTATGTGGAATTATGAAGCCTACAAAGTGTTTGTATAAAACATTTTTTTTACCAGAATTTTAAAACAATCCATTTCACAGATAAGGAAATTAAGTTGAAGAAGATATCTTTGGATGCCTCTCTACACATTGTTTTTAACCCTTCTTTCCCTAAGAACATGTGTGTGTATAAAATATACATATATATACACTACATATAATTATTACATATTTATATACCACATGAAATATTTTATTGTGTAATTCAGCTCACTATATATTACCATGTAAAATGTACACAGCATATTTTAATATGTAAAGAATTAATATGCACTGTCCATATAGTATATAAACAAATGCATATGTATACACAGTTCATTTCACTGCACAGACTGCTCACTTTCTCTCTGCCCTGTCTGAGTCCCTCCGGCAGATCTTAAGCTGGGTGCCTCACCTCCGGCACCTCTGTGCCTTCTTGCTCAAGTATTATCCAAGGCTGCCAAGCAGCTGCATAATAGCCCTAACTGGGACTTTCCTCCCACCTCCTGGCAGGCTGCCCAGGAAACTCATGTAAAATTCAGGTCCTGGGAGAAATGAGATTCAAAAGCCACGTGCTACCAAGTCAAAAAATTCAGGAAGGAGTAAAGCATACAATGCAGCACCGGAGAACAAAGATGCAACTCATCAGAGGCTCCCCGCACAGTTCCAGTGGGCTCCCTGGTTTGGTAGAAGGTGGTTGGTACCTCTCAACTTTGGCTTTGAAATCTTCCTTTGTTTTGTGTTTCTTTTTCTAGATGAATTCTGATCCTGCTGACACTGAATCTGTATGTCCACAGTAGTGGCTGCCTGTCCATGATGCCAGTGAAGGCACTTTGTTTCTCAAGAATGTATGATAAACTTTGTTCCTAAATACTTAGTTTTGTTTTGCTATTTTTATACATATGTATTTTAAATATCAAGCAAAATTTGTTGCCCCTACAGAAATGATATTGTATATGGGCCAAGGAAATACATGCTTTGTTGTTGAAAATTAGTTCCAAATTTAATGAAATACTAGTTTAGCTCAGTTTTCATAAAGAAACTATTTTGACAAGTTTATTTTCAATCAATAATTTAAAATTTTAACTTTAGCTTTAATACTTACAGATTTGTTGAGTTTGGGTTAAAAAGACATTGGTCCATGGCTCAGCAGGTCATATCTGTGGCTAGCTTGGGCATTCATACATTACAGACATAGAGAGAACCTTAAAAGTCATCCAGTTTAACCTTTATTTTTTAAAGATAAGACATCCCAGGCTCAGTGAGACTAGGGCAAAGTTTCTCGACTCTTGATCCACTGTTGCTTATGTTTCTCTGGAGAGCTCTGACTAAACATTTATAAAAGGTAAAATGTGATAACTAAAAAAAAAACCACTCTAGCTAGTTACAGGAATTTTCACTGGCTTGAAAAGATAGCTTTCAAGGTGGGCATTTTCTGGTCTGCACTGCTGGAGACCAGAGAGGCAGCCTCATGTCCTCGGGGGCAATGAAGACCCAGACCAGCAATGAGTCGCTACAGTTAAGCCTAATTGCCTTTGAGAAGGTGGCCAGCATCAGAGTCCAGCTGGAAAAACCAAGGAGAACAAAGCACAGGTGAAATCACCTGCGGCAGCCCTCTGGCTGCTCCCTGTACCAATCTAACAATTTCCGGATTCCCTCAGAAATGAGGGTGCCTTTCAGAGGTAAGGGTTACATTCATCCTTATGGCTTGTTGGATCTTTTAAGCCCATCTACCTGAAAACCTGCCCCCTCGGCCCCATGTCTGAAATTCTGTGCTCTTGGTGAATTACAGGGTCCTCTTGTTTTCATTGTTATGTGTACATACCACAGGAAGGGTTTTGGGAGACCTGTGAGGACCTATACAAATACAGGGTCCAGCACAAATAACGCCCTTTTTAATTATAAAATCTTTTATTACAAAATCATCAGCATGTAATTCTATAATATAACAATATCACACTGAAGCACACCATATGACATTTTAGGTGAATTATTCAAATTAAAACTATAAATTATGACACCCATGTTATTACCCTACCAACCACACTCAAGCAGGCGTTACTTCTGCAAAACCCTATATATTTGGATCTGCAAATCAGTCAGATTGGTATAGAGGAGGGACATCCAGACTGACACAACGGTTAGCCAAAGAGGCTAAGCAGGACCCACTCGCTCAAGCTAGAAGTCCAGGAATTTCCATTCTCAAGTAGCCAAGGTAGTGTTTGCACTGAATTTCAACGGGACTCCAAACGACAGGGCACAATTACGTGCAGCCTGTACTAAGGTTGCCTGGGGGAGTCCCTTTAATGAAGATGGGGATTCCAAAAATAAATCATTTCCTCATCAGAGAAAGGAAAAGAAAATGAGGTGTTTATAAAAGAGGCCCATAATGCCCAGAATCTTAGAATGTAAAAGAGTCCAATCCCCTGCCCTTTTTTTTTTAAACCGAAGACGAAACACATCTAGAGAAAGCTGTGAATTGTCCCAGATCACAAGGTTTTGAAATAAGTTTCCATCACATCACAGTGCTTTCTCTTTCCAGAATTCCTTGGAGGAAAAATGTAAGAAAATCTCTTCGTTTCCTGCTTCTTTATGCCAATGGCTGCTCGCAACTGAACATATGGTTACTATGGTTTTGTACTGAAGCCAGCCGAAGAGGGGAGCAAAGAGTTGCTTGCCAGCAAGGGAAAGAATCTGCACAAAATAATTGACTGTCATCTGAAATATTTTCAGATGTCGGCTTGCGAAAGAGAGAGCAAGCTGAGAGAGCTGGCTTTTACCTCAGGTTTTTTCAGAGGGTGTCCCGGGCCTCAGGTGCTTGTAAATCCTGATTTCTGTTTATTCGCCCATCACCGTGGTTCTTACTTCTTGACCCTCCCCCAACCATCCCTGCGGCTGTGGCTCATGCTGCTCACTTCTTTAACTCCCTGATGCCTCTTACACAGCTCAGCCCCTCGAATGCTCATCTTCCCACCGGGCAGCAGAGGAGATAAAGGGAGGCTGGGAGTCTGGCCGGATCTACGTCTGGCGCCAAAGTGTGAGTCTGGGTTTAAATTCTTCCTGCCTGAGAGAGGTTTTCGAGCAAAGCAGCCATGCTGGGACTTCCCTCAACGTTTAAAAGAACTAAAAGCCCCGCTCGACAGGTCTTACCTTTGGCCTCTGTAATTGAGAACTCTGCTTAAGAAAAGATACAGAATCAACCCGCAGGGGAGGCGGGTGGGGTGAGATGTAAGGAGACACTCGCCCCCAGCGCCCCCAGAGCTGCTCCTGGGCTCTGTAGAACAGAAACCTAGGGATGTAGGGGCGGTTTTAAACTCCATGTGCCTGAGTGAGACACTTGGTCCCTATTTACCTCTGATAGGGTACTCAGTTCCCATCATCTGTGGTTGCTCCGAAATGACTGTGAGAGTTATGGGGAGGAAAGACATTTAAAAGTCATGCTAACTTAAAGTGCCAGATAAAAAGATGCCTCTAAATTCTTCTAAGAAGTTGACATCATTTGATGGAAGAGATACCTCTGGCCTCCAGGGTCCTGATTACACAGAGACAGTTTCTCTGGAAGATGGCTCCTTTCACACCCACCCCCCATCTTTGCTGGTTACCAAGAGGTGGCCCCTCCCAAGTGGCAATGTCATCTACTGCTTTGGGGCGGTGCCTTGGGAAGGCCTCACTGGTTGGAGGTTGGTTGCCCTTTACCTGACACATCCAGGTGCTCCAGGTTGGGGCAGAGGGACACCACGTCAAAGACAGCCTCGTTGGAGATATTGTAGCAGCCTGAGACTTCCAGGCGCCTCAGTTCTGGGCAGCACTGGGCAATGGTGTAAAGCCCTCTGTCCGTGAGCCGCCGGCAGCCACTGACAGTTACGGTTTCCAGCATGAGACAGACGTTGGGTGTGTCCTGGCACAGCCTGCGGGTCAGCACCTTGAGGGCGCGGTCCACGTTGATGGTCTCGCCCGTCAGGCGGATAGTCCTCCAGAGGCGCGGGTCCCAGGCCAGGTTGTACCAGCGGCGGCACACGCGGGCGCAGCGGCACAGCTGGTTGGTGGGCAGGAAGGAGAAGATCTGGACCATGGAGTGGTCCGGGAGCCGCTCTATGCTGGCCTGCTCCTTCTGGGGTTTGGAGGCCAGCCGGATGAGAGGGTGGGTGAGGCGGGTCGGGGGCGGGGAGTGGACCAGGGCCACAGTCTCTCCGGTGATGGAGGATGAGGAGGTGGACGAACCCCTTCCATTCTGAAATCCGGGCAGGTTCGGTGGACATATCAGGGCTGGGCTGGGCGTGCTCAGTGTGCGCATGCTCAGGTCGGAGTCTGGCAAAGGACAGAGAGCAAAGGGTTAATGATGGCCCCAGAGGAGCCTCAGAAGGACACAAGTGCCTGGTGATGCTCTCATTCCACTGATACCCATCCTGGGCAGACAGACCCTGCTGAATCCATCACCAGAGGCAGGAACTCATGCAGGTTTCACCAGTTCCAGAAAGGGGCTCATCCTCTGTACCAGGGGTCAGGGGGGCTGCATGGGGTGAGGAGGTAGGCAAACTTTTCTGTAAGGGGCCAGATATGAAATACTGGAGGCACCGCGGGCCACATGGGCTCCGGCTCTGTGGCTGCTACTCAACCCTGCCAGTTGTGCATAAAGCTGCCATGAACAACATGTGAAAACAGGCATGGTAGTTGCAATAAAATTTGTTTTATGAGAGTGAACCAGCTGGGTTTGGCCTGAGGGTCGTAGTTCGCTGACCTCCGATCTGCATGAATGGCGATTGTCTAAAGGGCACAACTTCAAAGTTTCATTATTTCTACTCTGGGAGGAGCCTTCATATATTATGAACATGACTGGTTTAATTTTTTAATTATATTTTGGTTAGGCAAAAAAAAATGCTTCATTTACAAACGAGGAGAAGGAATTTCAGAAAGGAAGTCTGGCCAGTGGGGGTAGAAAGGTTCCTGTCTTTGCCCTTACTGGGATCCCTAGCATCCAGCCCCCCATCTTTTGGTAACTGCATCCCAAACTGTGGGGCCCAGGGTCTGTGGAGAACCCCCTTTTTTGCTAGATTTCACATGGTACTTCCAGGCCCTGGATATCTGTGACAATATTTATTTTTCCTTCTTATTAACAACCCCTTCCCATTGCATTTGAGTAATTCAAATCATATTTTGTTCCTTGGAACCAGACAGCTCACTTGATGAGGACACAGTGGCTTTTAAGTTTATGAGGGGTTATGTTCTTCGGAAAACTATTATAGGGAGTCTGCTTATTTCATATCTCCCTCACCTCTCTATATATGTGTGAGAAAAAAATGTATTCTCTATAAATATATATTTTACATTGTAGGTGGATATATTTATCTAAGAAGTCATTCATTCTCTCTAAATGTTTATATATTTTATATATCTCTCTCACACACACAGACAAAAAGATTTTTTCCCCTCCAAAATATAGGTTTTTTCATCTGTGATGCAGTGAGTTGGACTAGATGATTTCTAAGTCATTTCCAGTTCCAATTATAGCTCTAAAGACTTAAAAATTCTATCCTTGTGTGTTTTTCCACATTTCATACCTTGGGGATTTTCTAACACTCATTTTTTTCAAAGAACTTCCAGTAATAACATATAACACAAAATTCTGACACCTAAATTTCCACTGATTGCCTATTTGTAGTTTTCATACCCAAATACTTTTTTAACCCAATAATTTTTTCTTTTAATTTACTGCTTTATAACCTAACACTGCAAATGTCCTTCACATGTCCACAACTTTGCTCATGGAGCCTCTTTGCATCATTGCCTGCCTCTACCTACTCTATCTGCCTCTTGAAATACAAACACCTTTTGCAACTGAGCACAAAGGCCTCCTTCTCTAAGAACATCTTCCTGGTGTCTTCGAGAAATAATTAATTCCTTCCTTTTTGAATCCCCACCCTTTGTTATACAGGCATTTGTACATTTATCGTTCCCTAATGCGCTTGATTGTATTCTTTTTATCAAGCTTGCATCCCTCCCTGTACCCCCACACCCTTTGTCATATGACTTTGCAGCTTCTCCCAGGCAGGGTATATTTCCTTGGTCTAGTGATACTGGGCTTGGCCCCATGGCTTGCTTTGGCCAGTGAATTCCAAGGAATGTGATTTGCCCAAAGCCATTGGTATGGCTGGGCTCACCCTCTGGTACTTTTCTATCACAATGAAAAAAAACCATGCCTGGCTAGTCCACTGATATTAGGATGAGGAGAGGCCCCTGGAGCAGGCAGAGTTGGCCCCAACCTGCTGCTGAGAGCCAAGCTCAAGCAAGCCTAGCTGGGGGCAACCAAGGCCCAGATGAGACACAGGTATGTGTGCTAAAATACTGAGCTGGGGACTGATTTGTTACACAGCATTCCTACCTCCTATTACATTAAAAATGTCTTTCAACAAGGATTAAATCCCTTTTTATGTGTGCCCTGGCAGTATCTGACATGGCTTATGGTACAAACTAGGCACACATGAATGTCTTTAATTGAATGAAAATACTTACAGGTCCAGAAACAAATAATTTATAGCTCAGCATGTATTTTTCTTTGGCAGGTAGTATACATACTGCATTTTAAATTATTCACTAGAAAAGAAACATGTACTTTCCCCTTTTGCAATCAGCTCAAATGAATAATAAAATTTTAAGGAAAAACATAAGTTAGGGATTTCAAAACTGCCATCCAAGCTACCACGGTAGTTGTGAACTCCAAGAACTGCCTCTGAAGTTGAGTTTTTGTTAGGCAGGGACAATTTATTTTGGGCCAGGAGGGAAAGGCAATCTTGGACTTCCAGCTCTGACATTTTAGCAGCTGCGAAGGGTCTGAAATCTCCCTCCTGCCTGCTTAAATTCTATTCATCTTGAAAGAGAAGACATCTGACAGTGCTCCAAGGGGACCAGTATAGCTTGAACAGGCCCTGAGCGATGAAATATACTTATGGCGGGAGTGGAGGTGGAGGCCTGGAGCCTGCCTCTTTCAGGGATTCACTTATGTTCACTCTTTGATGCTCCTGGCCCTAAGGGGATAGTGGGTGCGCACCCTCAGTGCCTAGCACTGCTGGGCATTCAGGAATGCTTTCTGTTTTTCCTTTCTTTCCTTTGTCAACCATCATAGCTTAGTAGTCATGGAATTCACATTCAGAGAGCAACGGCAGCCTGACACATCTATGAGGAACATTCTGTGCTCGGGAGTACTCAGGAGCATGACAACAGCTCTGCTGCTCTCCTGTCCAGAGCGCAGCAGCAGGACTCTCGGCAGTCATTCCTGGTTGCTCCACACTGCTCACTGAAGTGGGGAGACAAGCAGTGGAGACAGGAGATTTCGACCAGGAGAGCTGGATGTCTCATTCACTAGAGTATACGCCAAGATTGTTCTGTTCTTTTCTTCTTACTCTTTAGCAGGTCAATAACCCTTTATTGGAGCAACTTGGAGAATTTTTGAAAGGATATGATTTGTCATCATTGAATAAATAGCATCTGATAATCAAAATTAATAAAGAATGATGAGTAATGTGATGGCCTGGATGTTTATAACCCAGTCAAATTCTTATGGAACTCCTAACCCCTATGGTGTTACTGGTGGATGGTTGATTGGGGAGTCTCCCTGCCTGGCCAAGATGGTGGCAGGGGAAAAGTCTTACACTGAACACATGCGAGGCTAACAAGATAATTGGTAGAGGGAAAAGTGCTCCTTCTCACCTTCCAGTACCAGTGAGGGGTGGGACCAGGGAAAGGCAGGTACATGTGCTATAGAGGTCATAATGGTAGCAGGGGAAGGTTCTGGACCAAAGAAGCCTCTCAGTCTAGCCTGTGGAAAGATGGGATTGGTTGGGAGGAGGACCCACCAAAAGCAGGAGAAAGCACCTGGTCTGTCCCATGTGCAAGCAAATATAATCCCAGGGGAACAAAGAAATGCCCTCTGGCTCTTGCTTGCTCGTGGCTTGCTGGCTAATGTCTTGCACTGGTACAGTGCACTGAGTGGGCCTTAGCAGCCACGTGGCCCACAGCCTCCAGAAGGGTCTCTCTCTCTCTTTCTCTTCCCACCTGGTTTGCATGCTCTCTGGCTTGGGAGTATGTGACCTTGAGGCCCTAGCAACTGCATGGCCCATGGCCTCTAGGAAGGAGCCTGAAATGGACATCAACTGGGAACCAGCTAAGCTAACTGGATGCCCACTGAGTAGCCACCTGCCTGCTTCAAAGGACTACACTTTAATTTGGAGCAGAAACTCTGGATACTGGTTTGTGTCTTGGTGTTGCTGAGGAGGTGGGTTTGAGACAGGAGTCCGCCATTCCCCCAGATTGCACAGCACCTGAGTAAAAGCCCTTTCCTTTTGCACCAGCATCTGCCTCACAAGTTTGACTTTTGGGGTGACAGGCAGCCAAGCCTCTGTCTTTTCTGTTTGGTAACAACGGTGATGGCATCAGAAGGTGGGGCTTTGGGGAGCTGATTAGGTCATGGGGGTGCAGTCCTCCTCGATGTGATTAGCGTCCTAACGAAAGAGACCCCAGAGAGCTCCCTGTCCCTTCTGCCATGGGAGGACGCAGTGAGAAGACCACTGACTCTAAGGAAGCAAGTGTCTCCAGACACCAAAGCTGCCAGTGTTTTGACATTGAGCTTCCCAGCAACCAGAACTGTGAGAAATAAATTTCTGTTGCTTGTAAGCCACCCAGTCCATGCTATTTTGCTATAGCAGCCCAAATGGACTAAGACAAGCAACAATAATTTACCTAAATATATAATACATATATTTATATAAAGATAAAAATTTAATGTGTCTTATGTATATCCATATTATACATATTTAATATTATATATTTAATATATACTTATATAAATATAAACATAAAACATATATATTTACTCCAAATACACACACACATATTTTAATTTAGAAATAAACATTATTATGAATGAAATATGCATGTCTGCCACACAGTCTTTCTTATCCTTTGATACTAGGAGCTATTTATTGCCATTAGGTATGATTGATGAAAACAGAAGTGTTTCACATAGAACTATCAAGAATCCCAGAATGTAAATGTCTGTATACTAGGAAAAAAAAGCACGGCTTCACATTCCAAACACAGATCACATCCACCAACCAAGCAGGAGGTTTCAGTTGCGCAGGGGATTGCAGAAAGACCGACTCCTCTCTTTGTACGTGGTTTTCTCTCCTACGTCTCTGTCAGAGGGCCAGCAGCTAAGTGGACATTGGCAATAGCTGCTGATTTTTCTGAGGGAGTTTAGAAACAAGGATGCTGATGCCTGATCGCTGGATACACACTTGGAGTAGACAGGGTCT